CTATATAACTTGGTGTCAATCTGATTTAATACAACTATATATAAATAATACTACAGCATTAAAAGGGTACCTCATTTGCTGTCTATAAAATGCTTCTTTGCTTCTTTTTTTTTAACAATAAAATCTCATTGGCTTAGAACTTCCTCTCTTATTTCCAAGAAAAATTGTTAAAAATGAATGGCTTCTCCTCTCCTCTAGCTCACACAAGCAAAAGGTAAGCTTACATCTTTTTTTACTTAATTATGTCATTCATATATCTTCATTACACATGAACCTAAAAGTTATGAGTTTAATTGAACTTATCTACGTACAATATTGGTTCTGAAGTTATATTGATTTGTATCATTTCACTAAAAAATTAAGTTGTTACACAATATCAATGGTGGATGCAAAGTATGAAGTATAAGTTCACGAAAATCTACTATCCTTTGCCCAAATCATGTATATTTAAGAAATTCATTGAAAATTTATAAATATTTGATTGTAAACTCAATTAGCATCATATATTAATATGAGATTGTTATAAGAATCTATAAATTTAAGTTGTCACAGAAAATCAGTAGCGGATGCAAAGTATGAAGTATAAGTTCACAGGAATCTAGTATATTTTGTCCAAATCATGTATATATTTAAGAAATCCATTGAAATTTTATAAATATTTGATTGTAAACTCAGTTATTATCATATATTGACTTGAGATTGTTATAAATATTCATAAATTTCAAATTCTGAATGCACATTTTTTTAAAATGCAGATTAGAAGGGAAAGTAGCTATTGTAACAGGAGGAGCTAGTGGATTTGGAGAAAGTACAGTGAGACTTTTCTTACAAAATGGTGCAAAAGTTGTTATAGCAGATGTTCAAGATGAAATTGGACAATCCCTTTGCAACAATCTCCTCAATTGTCCTAATAACAACAACAATGATTTTACATACATACATTGTGATGTAACAAAGGTCTCCGATGTCGAAAACCTCATCGACACAACAATTTCCAAGTATGGCAAACTCGATATCATGTTCAACAACGCAGGTAGGAGTGTTAAATGAGCGGTTAAATTGATTTTATGTCGATTAAATTAAGCTATATGTAATTAATACATAGACAATGACCTCCCAAAGGTTTCTTGAGTTGAATGAACGGAACAAAATAAGCTAAACAATGAGTCATAATTCAATCTGTCTAATTCTTATCAAAGTTTTTTTTACTCCTATTACATAGTTGAACGAGTCAAAATGGAGAAATTTTCACTAGTTATCCCTTTGTGGACTGTTGTTTAGTAAATAACTTTTTTTTGTACAACTTATGAAATTTTAGATCACAATCTAAACATTCTTTGAGCAAATCAGAAATCTTATGAGAAAATGTTAAATCTAGAATTTTGTTAGTTATTCAACAAACATTTGAACCATTACTTAGAAGATTAATTTTCTAAAGAGTTATATTTGCACATTTTTAAAATAAAGACAAAACTCAAAATAATGGCCTAAAAAGGAAATTTTCACATAATAAATCGACCATAAAAAGTTAATACCTCGTTCAAATTTAGATAACTTATGTTTTCATGAGCTAATTTTATCACTCCTAAGTACAGGAATTCCAGGGAATCTCGATTTCAACATAATTGACGCGGACAACGAGAATTTCAAAAAGGTTTTCGACGTTAACGTGTACGGATCTTTTCTCGGGGCGAAATATGCTGCACGGGTCATGATCCCAGCAAAGAAAGGTGTCATTCTTTTTACGTCTAGTTCGGCCTCCGTTTCCTCGGGCGAATCACCACATTCATACACCGTCTCGAAACACGCGGTTGTGGGACTCATGAAGAATTTATGTGCCGAATTAGGGCAACATGGGATAAGAGTGAATTGCGTCTCACCGTGCGCGGTGGCGACACCAATGTTAGTGAAGGCAATGGGTGTCGATAAGAGCGTCGTGGACGGAATAATTTGCTCGTCGGCGAATTTAAAAGGGGTGGCTCCGACGGCGGAGGATGTGGCGGAGGCGGCGTTGTATTTGGCAAGTGATGAGTCTAAGTTTGTAAGTGGAGTTAACCTTGTGATTGATGGAGGTTATAGTACTACTAATATGACTTATATTAAAACAATCCAAAGTGTATTATTTTCGAAATAGCTTTTTTTTTAGTATTCGCTTTAAGGTTCGATTATATTAGGTTAGAGTTGCATGGCACAAGAGGCACGTATTGAAGGAGTTTTTCTATTTTCAAGATATTGTTACATGTTTTTTTTAAGATAAAAATTATCTAAGTTTTATTGTGTAAAAGAAGATTGTTATAACTTATGAATTATGATTATCGATGACATTTGTATGTTATATTTGATGAAATATAGTTTTATTTTAATTTATTTAGCTAATTTTTCATGTATAACCTTTTATTATATCTAATATAAATCAAAATGAGCTAAAAGATGTGAAAACTAGAGATATGAAATTTCTTTTATTGACTATATTAAATTGGACAGTTAAATAAGCTTTAAGTACTCAACTAACTCCTCTTTTTTTTTAGATAATTTATATCTTGATCTAGTCAAATCAAATGATTGAATTTGATCGAATTTAGACATCAAAAATTTATTATATAGTATTAGTCAAATTTAAATATTGAAAGCCCGAAAAGATACTGATATATATATCCAGAGAAGATAGTGAGCCATACATGTAATAATTCCAATATTATAAGATCATGCAGATTGTGGAATTTGCATTAATATCCTGTATTTGAAGAGGTGTTATACACAAATCATAAATGTGCCTCATCTATAGCATGGAGGGTGGAAGTGGGTAAATATTAACGGATCATCAATTTTATTGAGTCGTTCCTACTTATATGCATATACAATGCTTATTAATATATGTTAACGTCCCTATTTGCATGCATTATGCATACACAATGCTTGTTAATATGTTTAACTTAATATTTATACTATAATTGAATTTATAGTAAGATACTCCTATTCAATTTTATGGGGGTCCTATGATTTTCTTGGATGTTTTTTAAAGTATATTTTTACTCGCACGCTGATCAAAAGATAAAAGAAGTTTGATCATATTATCACTCTTTAAACATAAGAAAAAATGGAAACACTCTTCCCTTCACACTTCAATTTTTTCATGAAGAAATGAGTTAAAACTCTTAAAATTAAATCTTGTTGGAGTATATAATTATATTCTTTCATAACCGAGTTTTCACTTATATCATGCTGGATAAATATTAATAAAAATATTTTAAAAAAAATATTAAATCTCCATAAAATATAAGTGTGTTATGTTTTATTTCCAAGTGTCGGTAGTAGGCAACTAGGCACCAATATTTAATAAGAGCATGTGATATTGATGATGCCTGAGAAATTAATTTTGTCCACCTATGCATTAATCATCTCAGTTATGCCCTCTAAAGTACTCCCAACCCTACCATGGTCGTAGGGTAAAAATTAATATTTTTTTTAAAGATAAATATTTATATTGGAAATAAAAATAAGATTATTTGAGAACAAATTGCATTTCATTAAAAGGCATGAGATGTATCATAAATTAAAGTCTTTCTTTGAATTTTCTTTCTTCATATGGGAAATGAATTTAGGCCAGCATGTTAATTATTGTACCATTTTATTGAAGTGTTTATCAAGAAATTAATTTCTAATTATTTAAGTAAGTGATTTGATCACGTAAATATTATTTATACTATTAAATGTTTGATAAAAGAACAAGGTTAAACTGATCTAAACAATCGTAATATTGTGTGTCTGTATTTTTTATATTTTAGTTTTCTATGTTAAGTATTCAGTGTTTATTATTCTTAAAAACAATTAATACTAAGTAAAATGAGAAAAAAATCTTCATTATATCTTGATTTTCTATAATAATTATTATTTTGGATTAACTATAAAAAAAACAAGAACAACAACTAAAATGAAGCATATTGAAGGAGTACTTTCGTTTTAAATTGAATGATTGTATTGAAGATATATATATATACCTTTTTAAGTTGAGTGTTTGTATTGAAGATATGCGCAAGTTCTTCAACTATTGGGCTTAATTAATATATGAGTACCTATGAATTATACATCTTTTATTCGATGTATATCTAAATTAATTTTGATCTTTATTATTTTTTGAAATTGACAGTTTTATAGTTTTAATACATTTCCAAAGATATGATAAAGAATGTTGATATATACTTTATAGACGCGTGAAAATAAAAAGATCGAAAAGAAACTTTCATGTGAGGGATTTTTCAATTATTATTGTCATATATATACATGCATAAACTTCACTGCCTCAATAGGAAAACGCTAAGCGAAATGAAAGAGATTCAATTGAATTCACTTTGCATAAAAATTGTAATATTCCTTTCTCCTCTTTAGAATAAGTCAAAAAGAAAACAACACACAATGACACATACAATACAAACATGTGAACTGTGATACACTGGATTTGTCCATCATAGTAGTTGGGCTTTTGAAGTGCATCATTGGGAGTAGGAGTTGTGTTTGGGTCCAACCTCAGCCCAGTCCTTGAATTGAACAGGCTAACCAAGCTTAAGCGAAATAGTCTGTTTGTCAAACTTTTAAAACTAGCTCATTTTGCAACACTTCAAAAGCACTTTTTCTTTTGAGAAATTTTGACTAAACAAATATCACTTTCCTCTACTCTAAAAGGTAAAAGTTAGGTCGATTAACCACACTTTTTTTTCAAAAGTTAAATTGTTACTTAAAGTGTAATTATAAAATGAAAATGCAATTCTTTATATTGGGAGATAGATTTAAAACGGTCCCTTAGATACTCTTGAGTTATTGTAATCCTTGTAAGTTTATTAAAAGTTAGCAATTTTAGTACCCAACTACAACCTTTAAATGCGAGTTCACGTATCGAAGATCAAAAGTGTTCACTTGCTAAATGTAAACAACCAAAATTACTCAAAAATATATGTAAGGACTACTTTGAACCTACCACAAACTTGAGGAACCATTTTTGTCATTTTCTCCCCCAAATTCTCAATCTTTTAAAACCCTAGAGCTACTCATTAGCCCTAATTCTCCTTCTTCTTCCTCCTCCCTACACAGCTCGAATCCCCTACCCCTCCCCCCTCCCCTTCGCCGCCGCTCCGGTAAGCAGCCATGGGTCGTGTCCGTACAAAAACAGTGAAGAAATCTTCACGTCAAGTGATCGAGCGTTACTACTCAAAAATGACCTTAGATTTCCACACAAACAAGAAGATTCTCGAAGAAGTTGCTATCATTCCATCTAAGCGTCTCCGCAACAAGATCGCTGGATTCTCTACTCATCTGATGAAGCGAATCCAAAAAGGTCCAGTTAGAGGCATTTCTCTAAAGTTACAAGAGGAAGAGAGAGAACGCCGTATGGACTTTGTTCCTGATGAATCTGCTATTAATACTGAGAGGATTGAAGTTGATAAGGAGACTATTGACTTGCTTGCTTCAATGGGTATGAGTGAATTACCTGGTGTTGTACTCAAGGAAGAGCAGACGGTGGCTATTGCTGGACCTGTTGGTGGATTTGGCGGTGGTCGTGGTGGATTCGGCGGCGGACGTGGAGGTCGTGGTGGGTACTGAGATCGGTTTGTTCGTTTTATTTTGTTATGAGAAGTGATTTTTCCTGAATTGTAGACTTGATTTTATCTGATTATTGTTTAAATTTGGGATTTTGTGAACCAATTTAGTTTTTTTTTAACCTATGGGTAATGTGCATTTCTCTTTATGAAATATGAATTGAATATTGCAGAACTATAAAGCTTTTGTTTTTTTAACTATGTGCATTTCTGTTTGTGAGCTGAGCGATTATCGAAAATAGATTCTCTACGTTCACAAGTTAGGTGTGATCTTTTGTTTTTTTAACTATGTGCATTTCCGTTTGTGAGCTGAGCAATTATCGAAAATAGATTCTCTAAGTTCACAAGTTAGGTGTGATCTTTTGTTTTTTAACTATGTGCATTTCTGTTTGTGAGCTGAGCAATTATCGAAAATAGATTCTCTAAGTTCACAAGTTAGGTGTGATCTTTTGTTTTTTTAACTATGTGCATTTCTGTTTGTGGGCTGAGCAATTATCGAAATAGATTCTCTACGTTCACAAGTTAGGTGTGATCTTTTGTTTTTTTAACTATGTGCATTTCTGTTTGTGAGCTGAGCAATTATCGAAAATAGATTCTCTAACGTTCACAAGTTAGGTGTGATCTTTTGTTTTTTTAACTATGTGCATTTTCTGTTTGTGAGCTGAGCAATTATCGAAAATAGATTCTCTACGTTCACAAGTTAGGTGTGATCTTTTGTTTTTTTAACTATGTGCATTTCTGTTTGTGAGCTGAGCAATTATCGAAAATAGATTCTCTACGTTCACAAGTTAGGTGTGATCTTTTGTTTTTTTAACTATGTGCATTTCTGTTTGTGAGCTGAGCAATTATCGAAAATAGATTCTCTAAGTTCACAAGTTAGGTGTGATGCTGTGTATACACCACTCTCTTCTGACTTATATTGTTGTTAGGTATTTGCACTTTGCCTATCAGTACTCGATCACAGAATATTGTATTATTCATGATTTATGTTTTATCCTTTATTTGTTTAGAGAAATCTATGCCAAAGCTCTATTTGTTTCCTGCCATTCTAATAGTCTCTTTTTCCTCTTTTTTTTTGACTTAATTGAAAGCATCTTTTGTGTATCTTTATATTTTTTTCTTGAAACCTACATGTTTTGTTTGACACTATTTTCTTATTAGTCCATTTTAAAAAGAATATCTCATTCATAAATGAGATATTTTTAACATCATGATCACAAGGTTTTTTTAAGTTTTGATAGTTGTATAAATGTTAGTACCACTCCTTATCACCAAAAAAAAAAGTTAGTACAACATTTATAAATGCAAATCTTTTAGATGTTTTTTCTCTTTAAACGGTGTCAAATAAAACTACGGCAAACAAAATGATGAGTGCACTCTTAATATTATCTTGATTAGCTATCCTCTTCGGATTCTACTTTGTAAGATTTACTAGGGCATAAATATCGAAAAACCGAACCAAATTGAATTAGTTTGATTTGATATACGATGCACACTTTTCAAAAACCAAAAACCGAAGAACCAAACGCCACCCCTAAAGATTACAATGTTGTTGAGTTTTCTCGATTGAAGATTTCACTTTGGTGATTAAATATCTTTCTTTTTCTCATTTCACATAATAGGATGGAGAACAATATGTTGACACATTGAATCACAATCATAAAAATGCTTTTGTTCCTTTTTTATATCTATTACCAACTAATTGAGCAACATGACAAGGCACTTTAATGTTTAAATCACCTTAAAGAAGAGTAACAAAATGTTGAATCTGCATACGCCAATAATACATCAAAATGACAATTACTACTAACAATGATAGGAGCAAGGCGTGAAGAAATTTGCCATGACTCCAGGGATAGTAATGATTGCAAAACCTTAAATTACACTCTAGATGCTATGTACGCGTACACGGGGTTGAGCATCTTGTGATTTTGCACTCACTTCCATTGTAATAACACGATACAATATTAAGTTACACGCAAGACAATAAACTCTCGAAACTGTGCTAATTGAGCAGAAGAAGCAAGTACAGGAGGCACATCACTCACTTGAATTTGCAAGTCCAACCATGTTAAGCATATGGCGATCCTCTTTAAATCTTTCTAACACGGTACCTTGAAGTCTATCCTGATTATCTTGAGCTCTTTTTATCGCAACTCCCCAGCATTCTATCACTTCTGGATAGATTTGGTGGGTCTTTGACAAGCTAGGACTGCCAAAGGTAGTGCAGGTGAAAGTATGACCCTGGTCAAAGTTAGCTGAGATGAACAAGCCGAAGTGGTGTGCTCGTCCTCCAAAACCAATGCCATTGGGGATGCTCTCAGAACTAAAATGTATAGCACACTGCCAAAAGAAAAGAGCTTAAACATCTTAGTAGTACTTCGATAGTCGATAAATACAATTCCAGTTTGCAAGTATTTATTGTTTCAACATCTGAACATCCAGGCTTAAGGACTTAACATGAACCAGGAAAATTAGTACCACTGTACTGAGGGGACTTGAACGAGCCTCAGAAGGCAAGAGAAGAATGACTGACCTAAAGCTTCAAAATCCAAAACCCATCAAGGATCTTGGTGACTGCTGGTCAAAGTGAGACAATCACTTGCTATTCTAAGGCAATAGGTATAGTAACCAATAGCAACGAGTTGCAACTTGAGAAATGAAGAGTCCACGAGATAATAGGAAAAATGAAATTTTGGAGAGTTGGAGGAACTTTAAAGTTCTGAAGACGGAGAGGCCTTCTCGAACGATACCAAGTGCATCCATTATTTCTTTTGACAGCTAATATGGATAAAGTAACTGATATCAAAAAGTTCAGAAACTTACCCACTGTAAATTAGAGTTCGCTCCAGTAGGACGGTAAACCGATGCCTTTGGGTATAGCTGGAAGAGGAAAGACTTCATGTCCCCATAAAAGTCAGCATGCTTCTCCCATGGCTGAGATGCATAACCTCCGTAAATATAGCCTTCTTTGTCTTTAATTACCAATAAAGTTGGTCCTTTGTCATTTCTGCAGTTCAAGTAGGGGGTTAATACTTGGATTACACTTGGCTCACAAAATTGATACTAACCACACTCAGATATAGAAAGGGGAAGAAAAAGTGATGGCATTTATGCATTAGTTGCGCCAAATTTATCATTCAGCTACTACAACAAAAAGGCACATGCAATATGGTGTACGCTCCTGTGGTGGGATTCATGCAGCTAATGAATGACATTTCTTTGTGGGTGTCAATAGCCATTTCAAGTCTTCAACAACAAATTCTCGAGTCATCCTTGGATTCTTCGTACTGTGTTATAGACACCTTATTAGTTTCTTGGTTGGTTTGAGACTCGGTGATGCAAAGTTTATGAAGAAAACAATGAGTGATTCTTGAAACTTACCAAGGCTACATGCCCATGTAGAGTGTGTAGAAATGCCTGCAGGCTAGGTTTAAGTAGGGAAAACTACACACACAAGTCAAAACAGAGCAGGGGCGGACAAGGGTGGCGCATCTCAAAAGGAGAGTGCAGTGGGCCATGAGAATTATGCAATGCCCTATCACCACCATAGATAAATATCACAGCTTCTTAGAGGGTGGATCATGAATACGACACTTAGGGGTCGTTTGGTAGAGTGTATAGGAATAATGCTAAATAGAGTGTATTAGTAATGCTTGCATTAATTATACATAGATTATTTCTTATGCATTGTTTGGTTTGGTGTATTAAAAATAGAATGCAATGTATAAAAATATTTCTTTACAAAAATATCATCCACAATTATGGTGAAAAAGATGTAAAGGGGGTTTGAGGGGTAATTGGGTCTTTACCCATGCTAATGCATGCATAATCCCTTTGCATTACTAATACCTAAAATTAAAAATCCATGGTATTAGTAATACACTCCCCAATACACAATAGAGTGTATAACTAATGCAAGCATTAGTTAAACATAGCATGAAAAAGTGCACCAAACAAGACATTACTAATACATAGAGCTAATGCATGCATTATTTTTGCTAATACACTACCAGACGACGCCTTACTCCACTCATATATTAATGCAACTGGCAGACACCTCTAACCTTCCTAAGGAAAGCATCTATAATTATAAAATGCAGTTAGTGACCAGGCCTTATGATTGTAGTGTATGGAGATCAATCAGGAACTTATGGCTATTGGTCAAAGATAGAATAAAATGTAAGGTTGGTAATGGAGAAAAAGTGGCCTTCTGGAATGACATCTGGTGCGGACAGGAGACACTCAAACAAGCATTCCGTGAGCTACATAGTCTAAGTCAAGCACAAGAAGCATCAGTGGCAGACTTATGGACAGGACAAGGGTGGAATTTACATCTGAGAAGAAACTTAAATGACTGGGAAATAACATCCATAGCAAGATTTCATGACACAATGGCTAGGGCTACCAATCTAACAGAAGAGCAAGATAGACTGATATGGAAAGGGGAGAGAAAGGGAGAGTTCACTGTAAG